TTTTTTATATATTGAATAAGGAATCTTTTTAGAATTAATATATATAATGAGTCAAGATCGAAATATGTGCTTTTCACCTAATCCATCATACAAAGATAATCAATCTTATCCGATTCAAGAACCGACGGGATATATACCACATCCACTTCAACCTGGTACTTCTTTCAGTTGAATGTTTTTGATGCTTTATTTATATACTCTCATAGGTGGTAACAATGGTCAGCATAAAACGTCATGTGAAGTCCCTTCAGTATTGCCGGCATGTCCAAAACTTACCAAAGGTTGGTTTTATTTTAATAAATGAATTTCTTTTGTAAAATTATGAATAGACTCTAGATACGTAAGTATATCGGAAAACATTTTCTAAATGCTTTTATTTTTATTTTTACTTACTCATTCTCATGATGCATGCAGTTATCTTATGGATATCTAAGAAAGTAAAAAGCCATAATTCATATCGGGATTAAAAGTTTTCTTTATAAATAAAATGAAATACATTTGAATAGCGGGTCTACAACAATTAATCGAAACGACAATTGGACGCTACGCTAATTAGAGGCAATATTCAAAAATGAGATTACAGAAGAACTTTTATTAGTTGTGCAAAGAAATAAATCAGAACGATCTAAAAAATAATCAATTATGTATTCAAGAACAAGAAACATTAGATATGATTATCAAAAAAAGATTACTTAGTAAATTGTTCTATTTGTACATGAAGTGTTACACTATATCAAGTAGTAGTTGCTTTAAAAGCGTTGCATAATTCATATAATTTTACATTATATAGAGACTCCTCTATCTAGCACGATTTTCGTTATTTCACGATTCCTATAGTTTTCATCTTCTCGTAATAAATACTTCAAAATATCCAAAAAGGTGAATGACAACATACAATTATCGTTTATGGATATAATCATCTACATATCCGACATCTTCATTTTTCGCATGAAAAACTCACGCTACGCTCTGCAGTATGATTACATCATATGCTTGTAAATAGAGATTTATGGAAAGTGAAACAGATCCAAGCTTCTGTTAAACATATGACTAATTGTCGTTCGACTAACTGACGCTCTCCCGATTAAACGAGTCATACTCTGAAAGTAATAGTCAATTATAAATTCATTATTATAGAATTATCAGTAAGATCGCCTGAGAAATGTGTAGACTTTACTACTAATAAAATACAAATAATTGTTAAAAGTACCTTGCATCTTCGAATCGACTTAAGGGTTTATACTAAAAGTTTTCATAAAATTTTGAATTACAGTTCGGATTTGAATTCCTAACGTTTTATTCATAGTTTCTCTTCTGAGAAGAGAATTTTAAATTCGGCAAATCTTTTGTAGCCATAGATACTTTTTATATCATTCAATTAGCACAAATTACATTAGAATCGAACTGATCTTGGCAAAAATGTAGTCTTCTCTGATTTAGTGAATATCTTTTACTGAGAAACATAAATTTTTTTCAAATTATAGCTAAGACTTTTTTTTTTCTTCTATCTTTATCAAGATGATGAACAAGGCGGAGATCAATGGGGAAATTTTACTGGTCTTGAAAGGAAAAAAATTCGTTGCGCATTTATTCGAAAGGTTTGTAATGATCGAAACTTACAAAACCAAAAAAAAAGAATTTATTTTAATAATTTTATGTAAAATAGGTTTATTTAATTCTCTTAATTCAATTATCGATTACATTTGGTCTTATTGCAATATGTCATTTTATGTATATTATTTTTTGTCTAATAAAAGACATTGAAAATGAATATATGATATATATATATATATTGTAGACCATCGATTCATGAATATGTACGAAGTTCGCATGGTAAATGGCTTTATTTTGCATCGTACTTTGTTTTTTTTGTTACTTATTTTACATTGGTTTGGTCAAAGCGTGCAGCACGAATGTTTCCATTTAATCTTATTTTACTCGCTATTGTGGTAAAATAGAAAAATAAATGAAATTATTTTCTAAAATAAAATTTTTTAATTTTAGACATTATCAATGGGTTATATGGTATGATTCGATTGAAATATTTTTATTATTTATTCATTAAATTTGTTTTGTTTTTTTGTTGTAAAAATGTTAGATGGGTATGATTTCAGCATATTATAAAATTGAATCAGTCTTAATTGCTGTTGGTATAACAGGATTTGTTTGTTTGGGTATTACATTATTTTCATTTCAAACAAAATATGATTTTACATTATGTTTTGGAGTTTTATTTGTTATTACATTGGTAGTTTTAGCTTTGATAGTTATTTGTATATTTACTTTTTCAAGAGTAAGTATTTTAATAAAATAAAATATTAATATTATATTTTCTGAAAATATTTATTTCTTTAAGATAATGTTTACCATTTATGCTGGATTAGGAGCTATAGTTTTTTCTATTGTAAATATTAACAATTAAGAAATTTAAAGTAAATTATATTCTATGTTTAGTTCTTAGCTGTTGATACACAATTAATTATGGGTGGAAAACGACATGAAATAAGTGCTGAAGATTATGTTTTTGCATCACTTATGCTTTATATGGATATTGCTCAAATATTTATGTTGATTCTTTCATTGTTTGGCATTCGGAAATGAAATTATCTTTTAACAATGACATTTTATACATAGTTTAGACTAATTATCTTTACTAGCGTTCATTTTTCTAATAAACATTAAATTTTTCATTCTTTAAGATTTTAGATGTAAACATTTTAACATGTATGTTTGTGAACAAAAATAAATTTACAGTCATGGATAGAAGCATTAAAAATAGTACTTGTATGTATCCAAGGTTTTCTTATAAGTAGAAGTTCATGAACCTTGATTGTAAGTATTAATTCGAGTTCTATATCTCTCCTAAGGTTGAGAGAAGGCCAACACATAAGATAACTTTTCGGACTGTATTATCTCGAGCTGGAAAAAATATCTAAAGGTGTTCGACTCTTTGTTGAAAAGGTTGACTGAGATAAGTTGCAAATTGTTTCATTACCCAGTACTTGACTTGAGTCTCAATCGTTTACTTGGCATATGAGTTAACAGAACTCTAAAGCTCTACATATCAACCAGTTCGAAATTTTCGATCTCGCTCAGACTTAATAAAAATTACATCGTTCGAAAGAGCTTGAAAAGTTGCGTATTGTATATGATAATATATATATGTTATTCATAAAAAAACAAAAGTAAAAATACTACAATAAATATTTCAAAATAAATTGTTAGAATACTAATGGCTATAATTATCATAATAATAAAAACGATTATTCGAAGTTCAAGTATTTGAATTATATATATAGATTACTTAAAAATATGTCAGATATTGCTTCACATTCACATTTTTAGATCAAAAAGAAAGTCATTTCTTTCATACTTATTCTGTGAAAAACCAAAATCAATATAAACATTGTTTAAGATATTTAAATAAATAATTAGATTTTTTTTGTTCTATTGATCATCACTCTCTCTTTTTTCCTCTTTAAATATGAATTAGATCAAGTGAATATTCAAATACAATATCATCACTTATTATTAGAACAATTCATAACTAATATATATATCTGTAAATTTATATGAGATTACTTTTAGTAATATGTGTCTCTACTTGTTACAATCAAAACGACAATTCATAAGCAAAAAATTAAGATCCAATGAAGAAATATTTCTTTTAAATGGGTGTGGATTTGAATGTCTTCTTCGCCCCAGTTAATCAACGGTTTTGTTCAGTTATTTTTAGTAATGAAAATGTATAAGCAATTGATTGCAAACTTATTCATAATACCGAAAGTTTATCAGTTACCATAAAAAAGACTTATTAGATCTTTTCTTTCGATATACAC